GATTCGCGTTAGTATTTACAGAAGTTTGAGGAAAGTGTTTTGTGCGGCAAAATAAACCATGAAAAAGAAAATAGTCCCGATAAAAGTCATACCCCCATTCAGCACCCTATGTATGGTTGCCTAGAATGCACACCGTCCTTCACGTGTTAATGCAAAACCTACAATAACTCATCGCAAATACACACAGCAATATTTTTGCTCCTAAACGGATGATGGAATGTTCGCAACAAGAATGGTCAAGGAACAGATCGACTAGACAGAACACAGCAAGCTACTGTACCACTATCTTTCGGTGAACCTTACCAGCTCTTTCTGTCCTATAATTTCAGGTTTCCCGAAATTTTCAAGAAGGAAAACCCGTCAGCAATTCATCTATTCTTCCTATTATACAATAAGAAAAAAAACCGAAAAGTGGAGAAAGAAAAAAGAATGTTCTTTTACGAAGTTTCAAGTGCTTGTTATCGTTCAAAAACAGGTCTTTCTACACCGTGATTCGAACAACAACAGCTTGTTCAGCGCATTTGTACAACCGAAATGACATCTCATTACGCTACTTACGGCCGATGTAAAGACAGTGTCGATTCCAACGAGAATGACCATAGTTACCCTCTCCTATATAATGGACTACTATGTGGTTTCTGCTCTTTCTCTACAAACAGCACTTATCAAACCCTGAAGGGTGTGTGGAACGCAGTGGTCGGAGGCGACCTTCAATATACATGGCATCGATACCCATTTCCAAGACTCACCAAGCCTTCCATCCTTCCGGAGTCAGCAAATTGGTACCAGACTTGTCTGGGAAAATAGCAGCATTGGTTCAATACATCGGTAGGCCACCCCGAGTCATTGTAAAGACCATAAATGCATTCAATCACCTCCAACGATGCATAATGAAGTGGAATGCACAGCGTATCCCTCAGGAATGGATTATCCCCGAGAGCCTTATACTCGTTTTAACAACACCTCTACCTTCTTAGGTGAGGTCTGCTATATTCTCTTAGATGACACGATGGATGTACTTGGTACCCTCAACAAATATATCATGTCATGCACTGGTTTTCGCCTGACATCTATACCGTTCTGGAACGGAATGTTTGCTACCTCGCTTGCGAGTAACACCATTCCCAACGGCAGCAATTTCAATAAGCCGACTATCGCTCAAGCACGATGTAATAAGCGTAATCAATAATACTATTCCTGAATACTGTACAATTAAAAATAAATACCACTATCAAATAAATCTTCGTTCTTCTTTTTGAAATAAGCCTTCGAAACTCCTTTAAAATGCTTTCCAAATATATACTTGAACCTGTACGAACACAGTTGGACTCAAATATGTTCATCTACAAAATGTAGGCTGAAAGAAAACTCTACTGAAAAACTAGTGAGGAGATAAACTCGGAAATTAGAGTTACATGACCCAACATCACATGCGTCACACTGGACGAATCCTAGCACTTCTTGCATGTAATTCGTTAGCTTTTATCCACCATACACAAAAGCCTTCGAACGTTTTTTGCAAGTAGCTTCGGATGGTGCTTGAGGATTTTTTCGCTTTTGCCATGAATGCCGTTAAATGCTGGTCGCGTCGAATCTCCTTGGTACCCTGAAGTAGCCGTGATAGGGTGTTCGCGTATGAATTGGAGAGAGTTAGCTTGCTCCAGACTAATCTGGTGTGAGTTTGTCAACCCCGAGACATGAAAAGCTTGCTTGGCCCGAAGAAGCGTCGAACCAGCGCCAAGGTAGGCTAGGCCGCTCATGTAAGAAACGGGATCACTACCACTCAGCTACCAGCTCTCCAAACTCTCAAATTTCTTAATAATTTCCTGGACGAATACTTCATCTTTCACGACACTAGTCTTTAGAAAGTTTATAGATCTACTGTGATCCACAATATACTTACAGCAACAATAACAATAACAATCACTTTCAGGCAAGAGTTAAATAACGAAAATAAAAAGACTGTAACATTCTGAACAAACCAACAGTGGTAATGTCACCTCTTAGAAGAATGCCTCCATCTCACTCGAGGTGAGCGCGCTGTATGAACGTTGCTTTGCGGCAAAACATTAGGCCTTGAGCTTGGGAACATCGGTGGACTTCCTCTATCATTCAGGTGAGAGAATTCCCGTGGTCGTTTCAGTGATTTTCTCGGCAACTGATGTCTTTGAACTGGTCCTCTACTGTTGGTTGAAATATTTTGAGTGGAAAATGCCGATGATGACTGTGCCATAGTTGGAACCAGGGATGGAGAACGATGTACAATCTGAGCAGCTGGTGTGAAACTGTTGAATTGGAAGACATTTTGGTCTACTGTCTGACTTGTGGGCTGGCTAACGAACGGTGGGGGCACATTATATAACTGAGGTGAAAATGTGATTGCACCGAATGGAGCTTGTACAGTAGACGTAAATGGAGTGGGTAATCCTAACTGAACCGTGCCAAACGCGGGCACTGACTGGACTACAGGGTTAAAGACTAGAGAATTTTGAGCAGGCAATGTGGGCGTAGAGGTTGGCATAGCTGGCTGAACAACAGCATTCTGAAGGGACAACGTAGCTGAAAATTGCCGATACGAGGCAGCTACTGAGTTCAGCATCTGTTTCACAAGAGGAGTGGCAGCAGCCAACTGACGCTGTGGAGTTGAAGAAGTATTCGTTCCTCGAACACATCCGGAAAAAGCGCTTGAATTCAGCCCTACGCTTGGTGGTAAAAGATTAGGAACACCAGAGCCGATTAATGGAGGAGGACGTGGCCGATGTTCTTCGTTAGGGACATAGGTCGATGGCCGCTGTTGGGCTTCTTGAAGCTTCTGAAAACGAAAGAAACATTAAACAAGGTAAAAATTGGAAATATGGCAACTAACAAACAAATAAATCAATCAGAACCAACGGAGTACAAAACGTACGTCGTTCTTTGTAATCTTCAGTGTAATTGTGACATAATTCCACAACAATCCCTCATTTGTAAACTCAACGTAAAGTAAATGCGAGATCAAACGTCTTGTTTATGGGTCTTTAAACTTCTCAATTAAATTATGTGTCCAAATAATGCAAAAAGATAGTCGCTAAGAAAACCTGGGATTGACTGGAGAAAAAAATAAGCCGGAAACTAAGCACGCTACTGAACCTAGTCTAGATGAATCACAAAGTTACGCCACATTATGGCTAAAATTAACTCCATAATTCACTTAATGAATAAAATTATTGAAATTTCGGATGTAAGCAAACTTGGCCACAAGCACAACCATATTGTTAAATTACATTTCTAATCAGGTTGTAAAAATTCCCAAGATTCAAAAGTATCGTTTCCCACGCATATCGAAAGTGCTAAGAACTGTTGCATTAAAAAAAAAAATCACATGTCATTTCTATTTAAACCTATTAGGAAATTCCTGTTACCGCCTTCCTATGTTGACTATGAAAAAATTCAAGCAAATGTCGGATTCAAATGTCTCAGTGATTGTTTTGGCCGTTTTTTGGATAGTTGACAACTTCAATCAGTCGTTTCACTAATTGTTGGACACGCCACAGCACAGTGTCTTGGCGGACGACAGAAGAAGATTCTTGTCACGCCATTCTTCGTTCACCGTCACATACGAAAGGTGGTAAATCATGGTACAGCATTATTCCTACCTGGGCAATCGTGAAAATTGCAAACTCTTTAGTCTAGAGGGCTTGCACAACTGATGAATCACTTACAGATTATTCTGAATCTCTACAGTATCTCGCAGTTGCAGTAAACTAGTTTCCCAAGAACAACCTTCCCACGCGGTGAAGAGACATACGCCCAAGGATTTGCTTGGCACCACAGTGTTAAAATGCAATCGAAAGAACGTCAAGTCAATTCATCTTTCGGTTACACTCAATATGATGTGGAATATTACAGTACGGTATCAGCAAGATAAAAATGCAGCAAATACACTTTTGTTCCTATGATAGAACAAGCAATGTGTGAAAAACTCTCGAGCAAGCCACCCATAACTTGATAGTTTCGGAAAGTACCCTTTCGATATGCCATTGCACACAACAGCTAGACCCTAGCAAGCAGTCTGCTACAAAAAAAAATAACATTGAAATCGAATGATGCAAACTTATTAGAGGTCATCAAGTCCTCAATTTTACACATTTGCAACCATATCATTCACAAATGACTATAAGGCGTTCAAAAATGTGCTATCTGCGTATTTCAGCTCAAACGGATATTTAGTGATTGGAATGGAACCGCCGAAACATGCAGACCTTTGTAAACTACACAAAAGCTCAAACGATGTGGCGTACTGTACGGTCGCAATATACTGTACGGCTATCGTGATCATGAGGACATGATCCATAATGTATCCAATGGTATACAAGTCGAATCGCAAATATAGGATATTCGTGGGTTTCAAACTGTCATGGCGCCCGTGGCTTTCCCTCTGGAGTAAGCTAACACAAAGAGTTCGACGCTTCCACGCAGTCTCATTTGATTGTAGAGCTTAGAAACGAGGGTTCGCAAATGATTGGGCCTCACAGCGAAATCAGGTTGAGTGTGCATTGGGTTATAATTGTCGATGCCATGCAAGCCTTGCCTTCGATCTTGCACAATACAACGATCCTATTGATTTGCCATTATATAAATCCAGAGTATTCCGAGCGTGTGAATAGTCATTCTTCTCAAGGAGAAAGTTCCGGTATAATCAGTCTACATTTCTGCAATTGTGCAAGGATAATTGGCTAATGAAGAAAATTGGGTAGTTAACGTGACTGACCTTCACTACATACCTGGCATTTACGATATTTTGTCCGCAAGTCTAGCAGCATCGAACGCCTCGGTTCAGTATTGGTAAAGAGCCAGGGGACACTGTTAATGATTATGCCTCAATCCAACCCATAATTTTACTTCTTTCTCGTAAGGGTCGTTTTCGCTTCCTTGTAGAATAAGTAAGTTATTTTCACAGTGAAAGACGGCTCTTGGAACCTTCAAACATTCGAATTTCTTAGTAGTGTTGTGCGTTAGATTTATGTCAATAGTAGCAATATCCTTTTTAGCATCCTCGATGTTTTCAAAAACCATACCAGTCTAAAATCTGACCAAAGATGGGAAATAAGACATTAGTTGGAGCGGGCAGCGTAATACTGTGGAATAAGACGTATTATAAAACATCTACCTATGTACAAATGGTTTTTTTCTATAGAATTTTTTTTTATTTTACGAAATTTTTGCAACTTGTGAGTTTTCCAAAACAAGCCGTAGTAAGCAAATATGGCACTAAAGGGTTAATATAATGATTATTTTCATGGAGTAAACGTCGCATAGAGAACTTGACCCTCATGAATGCATTTGCTGCATTCTTGACGTTGTTCCTAGATATAGATGAGAACGTGTCCTTATACTTCTCAAGTGCCTTTTTAGCAGCGTCCATCTGAGCAAGATGCACGGTGTTTGCTTCACCAACGGCTAAGCGCATGTTCCTAAAGAAAAAGAATGTGATATATAAGAAATTTCGTCTATAACAAATCGGTGATTTTGTTACAAAACTCTTTTTATATACGAACCTAAAGTATACGGCAACACGATAATGTCGAGCGTTTGTAGATCCCTCAATACCTATAGTACGATACTCGGGCATCTCTGGAGCAGAGCTGTCGTTTGCATCCAAATCTCGCAATGCTAAACAGCATTGTTGAAGTTGCGACTTAGAGTCGTTCCACTTTTTTGAATCGATGAAGTGCTGAAGGTTTCATGTAGTTTTTCATTATCGGTTAGCACTTTCACCAAAACACAGTCAAAAAATCATTAATCGATTCTCAACGTTCAAAGAAAACTTACTTTAAGTCGGGGAAGAAAACATATGTAGATAAAAGCTCGACAGTAATCCCATCCACGGTCGACGAAGATTGCTCCGATAAGTGCTTAAAATAATTTTATCAGAAAACATATTTTTTCTCAAAGTAACAGCGTGTGCCAACCTTCAACCAGATCGGCTTTATCCTTGAGACTAAGTTCAGGAAGGCGTGAACTCCCGCCCGGAGGATGCACAATGTAGTTATGTAAACCAAGATCCTCGCAAATTTGAGACTGAAAAGGCTTGATAAGGCGAAAATATATGGAGATTTTGTCGAAATGAGCTCCTGTTAAAAGGTAATACAAAACTTAAACTTTTATAAATCATGTTTCAATTAGCCTTCGTATAAATGGTCAAAGTTTTTTTCTATTGATGAGCTAACATATGGCTTCTAAAAATTTCATTCGCCTTTCTATGTTCTAATCGACGCAAACAAATCCGGCTCTGAAGAAGGCATGGGCACCGAAAAGTCAGCCGAATAGAAATTCTTGATAAAGTGGTGTTAGATCATCAATGAAGATAAGACATTAATAATAATATCTCAGCATCCTTGCGCTTGTAATACAGAAGAGTTGAAGATAATTGACAGAACTTCGTCACGTATAAGATACCACAGCATCAAGAATTCATAAAGATAGAGTAATTCAGTTCTAATAGTTGATTCGTAATAATATAGCATACTGTTCAATGGGATGACCACCTTTCGCCGGTTGTAAGAATACGATTAAAACTTGAAAAAGCGCCAAAAAGTACTACCTGTGTTTCATTGCATACAAGGCATGTCCTCAATAAGGAAAGATGTCCTTCGTGATGATTAGGAAAATGATGGTAAAGGTAGTCGGATATAATAAGCTGTAAGACTGCATCCCCGAGCCACTCAAGACGCTGGTTGTTCCCACTGAACACATAGCGTCGTGTTAGCAAATGAAACAAGAACTGAAGGCGAACTCATAATGGAAGGATATCTTTCACAGCGTCCCATTTTACAGAATTACGAAACGATGCAAAATCTGACATACCATGTGAGCGTATTGTAGGGGACATTTCTTCGAGTAAGTGCCTTTGCAAGTAATCGGATATTCTGAAATCGAAAGCCGAGAATATCCTCCAGATCACTAAGCTCCGCTAGATCATCAGTACCTTCAATAAACATGCGGTCACCCTCCGGCTGTTCGACCTAAAATTCACAAAATTATTGGAGTCCATGAAATTGTAATCCTAATAGAAACATCCCTCCAAAAGGTTCACCGCCTCATCGTGGCTGGAAAGTGTTTCTGGGTGTAGGGCTGCGATGTATAGTGGGGGATTCATCCTCCTGTCCGGATCTCCCAAACTGAGGAGACTGGGGTTCCCATCAAGAGACCTAGCTGAGAGTAAACCATTACCGCACAACCAGTGAGGACGGGCCATCCAAGTAACCAAGTAAGTATGTAATATAGATAAGTTCTTGGATTGTTAAGCTAACACGAGATTAATAAAGATATTTATTTGGTTAACGCTTCAAGTTCGAAAAATCTTGTGTCAGCTTAACAATCCATGAAGATAATGATTATTACTACCGAGGACAATTAACGGTCGCCTGGATAAGTATTGTTTTCCTAACATAGATACCTTAAGAGGATGTTCGGGTACGTTAAGCCAAAGCATCTTCACCATAGGATCATCACCAAACATCGCTTCCGCGAATATACTGCAAAACAAAAATTCAACAAGTACTCCTGTTCATCGACGTTTATCACTCATTAACAACATCAAGTAAAGGGAAAAGATAAAATTCCACATTGAAAGATCAAAATGTGGGATTACCGATCGCACTCTTCAATTCCACCATCCAAATAAATTGCTCCGAGCACAGCTTCAAATGTGTTTGCCAATGATTTTCGAAAATCTTCTTCATCGCACAAATCGATGCCATGGGCGTACATCATCCAGTCACCAAGTCTCAGTTTCTAAAAGAGGTGTAGAATCTCTACATACAAAATGTAAGAATGATCTGACTAACCTTCCCAAGTGCGGCGAGGTTACGATTCTGGACGAGCGCGCTGCGGTAGGTGGCTAAGCCACCTTCTTCCTGGTGAGGTAGAATAAAAAACAAACGATTCGATACAATCTGCAATGTAGTTCATCGCACAAAAATTAAATCGTCTGCTTTCAATGGATCTCACCAATTCCACAACGGCGTCACCAAGGTACTCAAGCCTTTCGTTGTGAGCAATCTTCGATAACCCAGCTGTGTTGGATCCAGACTGCGACATAATATGCATTAGGTTACGAAATCCTAAAGCTAATACATCAGCAAAAGGAAAACAGAATAACTTGCGATCAACTACTTTCGGTACACCACCTTTCTTTTTCTCGTTATTGTCGGTAAACGGAGCATACCGGCGAAACATGCAGTTGGTAAGCGTAGTTTTGATATGATCCACGTTAACTCCTAACATTAACAATTGGAGGAATACAGTGAAGCTACTGCATAGTAGATAATACATTAAACTGTATAGGTGAGGCTTACCAAAGTCGTTTTTATAAGATGGATGAGTGAATGCAAGCTCAACAACAGAGCGATTCGCGAAGGTGTACGAGATAATCTTCTCAAACTCCTGTAAAGCCCTTTCGCAATAACCTGTCCGAACATCTTTCAAATCCACCTACCGCAAGAGACCAGTGAAATCGAGCATGCTTCACAGCGAGAATAAGCAAGAGTACATGCGCCGGCATATCCGCATAGATTCCTGTCGCCAAAAAACCAGAACAAGGAATCACTTTAGGTGCACTAAGCTGAACGGCCCTCAAATTTGCATACTCGATATTACGCATTATAAAGAAAAGTGGAACAAAAGTTGCAAAGTTTCAGCAAGAAGAAAAACGACCATGAAACGACCACCCAAGACTTCTAACTGGTAACTGAAAATTCAACAAAATAAAACTGGATGGTATACAATTCTAATAAGTGTTTCTGAGCAACGGGCTGCGATGTACAGCAGGGAGATTCATCCCGCAAGCAGGGTCTCTCAAACTGAGGACTCCGATATTTCCATCAGGAAACCTAGCTAAAAGTAAACCAATACTAGGATCCACCACTGTCCTGGTATCAAACTAGTCGCACGGTGGCAAATCTCTCTGTGATCCACAAAGGCGAAGACTGCCTGTGGCGTTAACAGCCTGGAGCAGACGTTGGTCTGGCTGACATCAGGACTTCAGCGTCTGGCTGAGATCGGAGCTTCACGGAACCACAATGGCTAAATCAGCAAAACTCCGAAACAATGGAGATTATGCTGCGGTCCGCACAACCAGTGAAGAAGGGCCATCCAAGCATCCAAGTAAGTGAAATTTTAATACAATACGACGGCATACAAGTCCCTCACCGTTGTTGCTTAAGCTCTGCGATTCGCTTAAGTAAAGTGTTGGTGTCTTCCAATTGCTCCTTTTGTTGCTGACCATTAGCATTATTCGACTGCACTTGGCGCAGCTTACACAAACGACGCTGCGCTTCGACTAGCTCAGGATTCTTCAAGTTAGCATATGCCACCGGACTGAAACTGTGGAACTGACTAAACGTGACATGTTTGAAATAGTCGGAAAATTTAGAGCAATGTAAGTGATCAAAACTATTAGAACAAACGGTGAAGTCTTGTGTTCTATCCCAAAAGCCAACGACTCGCTCGTCGGAAGCCTTTTTACATTGTCCACGCGGATTGTTGAAGGTCTCTAAAAATCGCTTTTTCATGGAAAATCTCCTCTAAACACACCAAACTACATCACCTTTCGTGGATTTGTCGCCAGCTGAAATTTCTTGGCAGTCAAAATCCTTGTGGATTCAGTTTCACTACACCGTGACAACACTCCAACTTCTTGCTCTGTCATCAACGGCTTAAATGAATCGTGAAGATATCGTAACACAATGCTCATAGGCAGCATTCGTTGACCTCGATCTAAAATAGCCAGTGACTTTACTCAAAAATATTCGACGAAACCAAAAAAAGAACAATGTTTACTTCTTACTAGCTGCCTATAATTTTTCACGGCAGGGTACTATATATGAAGTACAACCACAATGATGCTGAGATATTCACAAAACTCCGAACCGCAGGTGTCCGAGGTGGGGAACGAACACGCTACTGCCACTTCCGACGGCTAACACGTTCACCACCACACCATGCGGATCCTTCGTTTCGCCTCTCTCTCAGAGATAATTCAAAATAAACAGTCCAAAAGATATGTAACATATACGATGAATATTACCTCGCTCAGAAATAAAACGTGGCATTACGTGGTAAACTGGACAACCATCATTTACGCCAAATGCACGAAGCGACTCATCGTACAGTTCCAGTAAATCAACGAACACATATCGATGAAACATATTCAACTCTTCGACAGTGAAGCACTAAAAAACCTGTGATGCAAATATGAGCTCATCTGTTTACTAAAACAAGACATACATCCAGCATAGGTGCTTTTTCGAAATGGAATTCGTACTCACTGGTCCAACGCGAAACCGGCATTCGGGGTAGGACTCCAGGTAGCTCACGATGAAAAAATACCTTAAAGTACACGAAGTGATGAATACGAAGAAAACGAACAGGAAGAAAGATACACAGTACAAATCAATACTGTACTTTTGAGTAAACTTAATAGCGATATGACAGTCGTACGTAAATAAAAATGGCCAAATAAAAAGGAAAACATACCGAGAATCCTTGAAAAACATACGACTCTCCAGAATAGGATATCCGTGTACGTGTGCCTTCTCCCAAAGGAGCCGACGGTCTAGTGACAACTAGCACATAGTGATGTAGCTTGGCTGCATTGCTGGAAAACCATCGAATAGAAGAAACAAAAACAAAATACATTGGTAGAATCATATTAAAACGATGAAGAATCTTGGCGTTGATCAATCCATGAGTGATGCACCACGCATTGGACTTCATTACGGATCGTTGAAGGTGACTGAATGTATATCTGGTCTTTACAATGACTCGCGGTGGCCTACCGATGTATCGAGCCAGCGCTGATATCCTTCCAGACAAATCTGGTACCAATTTGCCGACCTCGGAGAGATGGATGGCTTGATGAGCCTGGGCGCGAGGTTCAATCCCACGTGTATTGTATTGCGGAGCGCCTCCGATCACTGCGCTACACACGCCCCAGAATCGTATTAGGATAAAGTAAATTAGAACAAGAAGAAAGAAAAAGAATCATAAGGATGGAAATCGAGGACTTCCACTCCAGAAAGGAACTTATTACGTGAAAAGTAACAAACTTTTCATTAGGTATACAATCGGGGATCCTGTTTTCACCCGGAAACACATTATGACGTAATCCGCTCTGCCTAGCTGAACTTGAACAACGACACATAAGACCATAAGCTCCCTTAAAAGACAACAGAATAAGTATTCACAATTCTAGACCTCGAGTTCTTTAGTCCTCACCACTTCAGGTTCATTAAAACATATGTCATCGCAGAGCGCTGCACCGCTCCTGTACTTCCTGTCGAACTGGAATGAAAGATCTCTTAAATACATGGCAAACATGAAACCAGGATAATCTTTTTAAGGGCCAAACCAGCACGGCAAAAAACACGATCCATAAGTCTTCTACCTCTTTTCGCAATAAATACGAACTACGTTGCCTCGTGTTCATCTTCTCCACATCACTCCATTCAGAATCATCACACTCTCCTCCATCTTCGTCGTCGTCTTCACTCTCATCGCTATCGTCGTTGCCAGAAGATCCGCTGCTTTCGCTTTCTGCAGCTGAATCTCCATCACTGTAGGGAGAATCGCTTTCACTCGAAGACGAACTAACTGACGACTCAGAGCTGCTTTCCCCTTCACGACGTGCACCTTAAAAATTGGAATGATTACAAATATTAGCAGAGCAAATTGATTTTCCAGATCATACATTTCCAACAGGAATGCATCAAAATCTTTTCCGGTAGGTCTAATTTTGGGCGATCCATTCTCATACGCTCAACACCACTCAGCATTGACTTGAAGCTTTCCAAAACCGTTTCGTGATTAAGTGTTGATTGAACTAGGCCATCTTTAACCTAAAATTGAGTTGAATGGAAATACAGTTACTAGGCCTTCTGGACAGAAATAGAACTGGTAAGGCTGGAACTTGTTAGCTAGTGTAATGAAAAAACAAAAAGGTTGACATCTATATATGAAGTAGAACAGCACCACTACCGTTAAACTTCACAACTTTAAGTATCTCAAAGTCTAAAAGACAAAAATGAACAGGAACAACACCTTGTGATAATCGAAACATGGAGCAATTTGAACGACATCTTTCTGTTCCGGTAGTTTGGCCAATTTAGGGTCAAGTCTAAACTCCTAAAGATAAAGAAAATATCAATATAATCTGAAAGTCTTAGGTGAGCTCTTGAAAACTATACAACCATCTCGCCTCTTCAGTGATAAGTCTTCTTATGAGTTCTTCATCGAACGTGAGGGTCTTGCCTAAACGTAAAGTTTTAAACCATGTAAAATCTCGGTAGAATGGTGTCTATTCTATTCTATTCTTATTCTTATTCTTCTTATTCTTATTACATTAATCTTGAATAAATGAAAGGAAGAAACTCCTACGGATACTGGACGTTAAACGTCAAATCTCCTATCGACCCACAAGTTCCTGCGACTGTTCCTGGGGAAGACCTGTGAACCTTCTAACAGATTATCCCGTGATGCCAGAGGAATCCACTATTTGACAACATTCAACATGTCAGTCCGATCCCGGCCATCCCTACGGAGGATGGTAAGGAGATAAAAAGAAGCTCTCCGCCTTGATCAATACCTGAGAGATGCACTATGCATTCGACTTCACTAAGGATTGTTGAAGGTGATTGAACGCATATCTGGCCTTTACAATGACCCGCGGTGGGTTACCGATGTATCGAGCCAGTGCTGCTGTCCTCTCAGACAAATCTGCTAACAATTTGCAGACCCGGAGAGGCAAGTTTGGTGAGCTACGGGGGCGGGGATCAATCCCATGTATTGCAGGGCGGCTCCAACCACAGCGCCACACGCTCTACGATAAGGAAATAAAGAACCAAATGTAAGAACTGCTAGGGGTTGCACAACATGCCAGAACAGACTATCGATGTACCACAGGAGATAAAAGATTATTTTCTCTTTGCAATATTTTAGTAGAGAGAGTCATACGCACATTGCGAAATCTCTCCACCGTTCTCGCCAATTTCGGCAACTTCGCCTTCTTCTGGATCACTGCTACCGTCTGATACAATAATATTGTCCACATCGGAGAAAAAAATATCCGAAACGGACGAAACCGACCCATTATCGTTCTAAAAAAAAGAAATCAGTAGAACCACAGCAACTACAAGAGGCAGAATTCAGTCAGAAAACGGCACTAGAAAAAATGCTGAAGAAGAACTCACATCTGATCCACAGCATCGCTCTTCATAATGTCCCATTCTTCACATTCCATCCAGTAATGTTTAAATAAAGTAGCGACGGACAAAGAGCATGCGAGCAATGTTTCTCAGGAATCAATTTTGACAATGATGGTAAAACTCGTCCAAAACTGTACATGAAAGGGTAACTCGGCCGGTTCTATTCATGTGTCGGTGAGTGACAAATCTATCAAATATGATAGTAATAGTAGGAAAGTTATAGTAACAAATATAGTGAAAGTAACAGTTTAAAAGCAGAAGATGGGGCTTATGCAAATCAACCTACTTTTGAAGGTCCATTTTTTCAGTGACGTCATAGGTACGGTGAGTCCGCCATTGTTCAGGACCCATACCTTGCCTCGAAACCGGCATCAATTCGTGCTGGTCGTGCTCTCATGTGGTATTTGCTACATTCTGAGGATTTGAAAACTAATTTCATCTGTGGGTATAGTTGATCTGCGCGTGTAACGAACACGCCGGCCCATCTTCTTAGTGGTCCTTCGCGAGCTCATGTTTGGCTCCATTAAAATCGACTCTACTGTCCTTTCCTTCGATTTGTCGTCTTCTTTTATTATCTGGCCTACTCCTTTTCTCTTGAGACGTATTCTGCTGAGCCTCGAAGGCGGTAGTGACCTCTGTAGCTCAGCACGAATGGCAACCTAGGGCCTAAGTATTTTGTTCGGTTTCACGAAAATGACCTTGCCACATGTAGCATAACCCACTCTGCACAGCGTTGATATGAAAATGCATTTGTGAGGCTACATTTAAGTATACCATTGGTTGATTGCAGATAGATCCCGTTGTAGGCTTGAATTTATACACGCTTTTGGGTAGAAATTTTGAGCTTCTCATCAGCTCGAATGAGCCCAGTACTGGATGGATCATTGGCGTACTGTATAACGGATGGCGATATCACACACTTCGACACTGTGGCGTGCTTGCTCATTCAGGGGTTTATTCACTTTGGGAAAATTCGCGCTTAATCTCCTAGAGGATGGCTGCCGCAAAAGGAATTATAAAAGGCAAAGTTATCCTGAAACGATCGTGTTCACCATTTTTGTGATTCTAAAATGTTTCCATGCAAATGATACTCGCAGCTGTCGCATAGTAAAGGAGATATGCATTCAATCACCTCCAACGATGCTTAACGAAAATGAATTCATTGTGCATTCCTCAGGGTTAATCAACCCCGAGAGCTTCATTCTATTTTATTAATTTCGCAAAGACCCATTGTTTCTCTCTTAACATTTCTCAGAAAAGGTGCGGAAGGAGATAATACCATCCGAAGTTTATCGCCGTCGCGGCGTGGATGAGATCCTTTCGTCCTTTTCATGGCCTTATAAAAACGATTAGCACAAAAAGTTCAACCAGGCATAAGGGAGGACATGACTGAGAAAAGGAAGAAGACGAAGCCGAGATAATGTAAGAACTCTGCAAAAAAACTGCTTTGGAGCGTCTTAAAAATCCGTAAACTGGTGCAAAGTAGTCCTGCCTCACTTAATGACTTTACTGCTTTGTACTTCGCTCTGCTACACAATTGATCCGTAGGAAGATACCTCAACAAAGTCGTAAATTTTGTCTACTAGCGACATCTATGAAAATTTTGATGCGTGCAATAACAAATTGTAGTTTTCAGCTTATACATTCAACAAATGCGCCATGCCGTCCTACTCCCTTAGAATTGTCAAAAACAAAATTTGTGGTGAAAGGAGCCGGTGAAAGTGGAAAATGGGTAAGAGATGCTACAAAGGAGAACTTATGAGAGCTCAAGGTTTTTCCTCTATGAAGTCCACTTTTGGGAATAGGTTTGCAGCTCAGCTCAGCAGCTGTGTCCCGATCTGTAGGTTGAGAAACGACACATGCTACCGTTTCCATGTAAAGGAAAGACCATTTAAATAGAAGGAGCTCCAACGAAGAAAAAAGAGTAGAATTTTTGCTGTACCTCCTATTATTAAGATAAACCGCTCATTAACTAGTGTTAGCACACAAATCCACAGCCAATTTCTAATCGTATTACGTTCCACTACCTTGGAAAAATGTTTCAAGAGTGAAATCATCGCTCTACTGACGACATCTTGTCTTGTTGAGGGATTAAAGTGTGAAATATTTTCAAAGAGTTCAAAGAATCGTAAAAAACGAATGTACTATGCACGAATCAGCAGAAAGCCGGGTGATGAAAAACCCGTGGCGCAACAGCAGCCAAATCAAAGTGGAGAAATCTTTGATTACAGTGACCACGTCCTATGTGTACCTGAGGTGTTCTATAAATATGGAGGATAACATTGAAGAAGGACTGTACTTAATGAAGCAAAGACATGGATGGACATCTAAGCAACGCAAAGGATTCGGCATAGTGAATTGAACACTGAAATGTAATCAACGCACAAAATACACCATGACTACAATGTGTAGAAATTCGAAAGCTCTTCAACCTCAGCATACGTAAGAATACACATAAAATGCGAAGCACTGGTGGACTGATCAAATGATATGAAAAACGGACGACAGATGGAC